CACTCACACACACTCACACACTCACACACATACACATACACAAACAAACAAACAAGCAAGCAAACAAACAAACAAACAAACAAACAAACAAACAAAGAAACAAAACAAACACACACGCACACACACACAGACTCTCAGGGACACAGACGCAGAGTTGCGACTTTAGGGCTTCGTCGGTGTTGACTGCCCGTGTCCCTTACAGCGTTCAAACAAATGCTGCCCGAATTGTCGGAACTGCAAAAAGAATCTTTAGTAACCAAGAGTCCCGTAGAAGCTGTCCACCACGTGGAATGCAAAACTTGGGGCTTCCGCGGCACGCCGCTTTGCGAGAACTTTTCTGTAGTAGGCATGGTTGACCAAGACCTCGCGGGCTCTCCGAACTGTTTTCATGGCTACCCTCACCAAACTCCTCGGCCTTCTTTTGAACCCTGCCTCCGTCAGCAGGGCAGATTTCCAAAGAAACCATGAAAATGCCGCCGCAGTGCTCAACACATCCAAGGCAGCAACTGGCAAGGGCTGGACCGCCGCTGGAAAAAACGGAAGGAATGAGGACGCATTGACCACGTTTACCAGAACTCCGGTGAGCAGCCAGAAAGGAATGTTCATTAGAAGCAGTGGCAAGCAACAGCAACATGCAGCCAAGGCCAATTGGATCTGGGTCGTCAGGTACACCCCAACACTTGTCCAAGAGAGGTTGCGGAAAGTGCTCCCGTGCGTCTTGCAAATGACAGTCAGCGCGTTCAACAATACCAGAAACAACATGGGCTCGTTGCCAAATCGCAGGGGGCTCAGAAGCAGAAGCGCTGCACTTACGCCAAGGTTGGCCAATAACCACCAAGGTCCTGCCGAGAGCTCTTTCTTTGTTGTTTGAGTTTCGGGGTTCGTCGGTTTCGGCAGTTTTACAATCTGCGGCTGAGAAATGAGCAGGAGGGAGTAGTGGTCGTTTACTGACGTGTTTCACGGTCGTTTCAAGGGGGGTGTGAAAAAACACCCAATCCTGTCGGGGCTCTCGCCGCGTCGGTGAACGCCTGCGCAACATGAACAACCCAAGGCTAACTTGGAAGGACTCGATTTTAATATATCACTAACTGTATTATTCATAGTATTCAAAATCATCATAGTATCTGTGAAAAGCAGAGGAATCCACTTAACTCTCGGTCACAAAGCACTGGTGCCACCAATCGTAGACCAAGCAAGCAAAGCAGGCAAGGCAGAGATCGGTTCAGAGTTATATCCCGTAAGTATGACCACGCAGGCAAAAGACAAGTCCTACACCTGCCAAGGCGTAAGCGGTTTTTTCCTGGACGTTGCACAAGGCACGCCTTGAGTGATCAAATGCTGCAGGTGAAACAAAGTTGGCATGATCCGAGCAAGACATCAGACTGCACGTTTACACGAGCCCTTGACAAATGACAGAACCCGTTCTGAAATCAATCGGATTTGCAGATTTGCGCTTTTGATCGACGCGCTCAGAGCAGCAGCACAGCAGCGTCGAGTGTCAGTGAAAAAGAGAGACACACGATGAAAATACCATGGCAAGCCATTGCACCCCTGTGGGTCTTCTCAGCTTCGGCATTGGACAAGGAATGCTGAGGAGAGTGATGGAAACGATGAAATGATATACAACAAGAACTTCACCATCCGAACCGAGGTAAACATTAACCACAGTTGGGTCAACAATGCTCACACAGGGATCAACCGGATCCGCCATGCTGGAACCCATGCATCATCGATCAGGTTCACCATCGTCTCCGTACATCGAGCTATGGTTCAGTATCTTCTGACCAGTAGATGCCCTGCGCAGATAGAGGCACTCATCTTCAATGTGCCTGATGACCGACTCCATTGTCATGACGCCACTGGAGTCATAGTATGAGTAAACAGGCACTCAATGAGTGACTTCGTTGGCGGGTCCGCCATCTGGGTAATGTCGAGCCTGAGTCAAGGCCCGAAATAGGAGCTTCGCAACGAACTCCACGAAGGCATCATCTTTTACTTTTGCCATAGGAATCTTCTGCGCGTCATCAATCGTAAGACGGCAGCATCACACCCTCGTCACGCCAATTGACCTTTCCTTCTCCGATCGGGATTGAAACTCTCGGACAGCATCGTTTATCGTCTGGCAAGCCTCAACTCGTTCATCCCTCACTACCGGGGGGTTGGGATTCCCATCGGTCCCAACCACAACACGATCGAGTACATCGTGAGTGATCATTGCTTGATTCTAAGCAATGCGAGCATCGCTGCCGAGTGCTTCCTCTGTTTATCGTTCGGAGGGAGCAACGTCTTGCAAATCAATCGGCTGTAGGTGGTTTCATCCTTTCCTTCCTCCTCCGCCAATCCTGGAACCGCAAAAGACGGCATCGTAGTAACCTCATAATCGATGGTAGGGGCCAGCGACACACGTTCCCTGGTTGGGAATAACATATCCGGCCGGTAGATGGCAGCGGGTTCATTATCGGTAATGTCTTCCTTCCTCTAACGGCGGCGGGAGGATCGGTCTCCGCGGCATTAACATCGATGAGCGGGGGACCTACTCCTGACAGAGGAGCTGCACGAGCCGGCATATCACTGGGCTCGGCAGGCGGAATGCCCTGAGGAGGATAAAGAAGCTTGGGCCCTCCGGGCGTCGCCCCGCCAGAGCGCTTTCGGGCGCGTCACCCGTAGCAGCTTCGACCTGTGACGCCTCAGCTTTGTCATCCGGGATCCCCATAGTCAAGGGGCGGCGGAGCTGAGTGAGGACTGGGGCGCGTATCGTCATTCTCCTCAGCCACGTCCTGGGGTATTGTGGACTGATCATTCCTAAGATCATCTTTGCTCGGTCCCTCATGCTCAGGCTTCGAAGTCGCTTCACCGCTGCGCGGCATCGCGCCTGGGGCGTGTGCCCTCATGGGTTTCACCGGCACTGCGGCAGCAAACTCTCTCCGAGCAGGCCCCTGACCGCGCGGAATCATTCGCACTCTAGGAGGTGACCAACATCTCTCTGCAGATCGCGAAGCTGGTTGGTAATGGATCGTTCAACGCGCGTGAGATCATCGTCGCGACGACGCGCCACGGATGGAAGGCTGCTATTATTCTCAGGCTGCAGGTAATCCACGCAAGGATGCGAACCGGGAGGCCTCATCGACGCCATCCTACGGTCCACTTGAAATTCCTCTGAAAGACTTTGATCGGATCGTACTCCAGCCCTCATGGCCCCATTTGACACTTGCGCGAGCCCCATGGACTGAATCGCAGCGCGAGGTGTCTGGGCCAGCATGTCAGGCCACTCCTCATGAGTGGGGGGCGCCAGATCTTCTTCCTGGAACACCATATAATTGAATGGCAGCGCGCCCAGTCCCCGATGTCGAGTGCCAAACTTGTAGGGACTGGAAGTGTCAGATGCCCACGATTTATAACCTTTTGCTTTTACTTTTGCTCATGATGCCAGACTAGGCCAAGATCCGGCTATTGGGCGATGTGTTTAAGCAACAATTAATTCTTTCTGCGAATGC